CGTGGACCTGCGCCCTCCTCTGCCTCGGGCGGCGGCGGGGTGGGAGGCGCCGTTTTGCGAACGCGCCATGTGCCGCTGGTGCTTGCCATCTAAATTAATATCAAATTTCTTTTTATCATAAGGCAACTCTGTATGTTCTTTTTCGCACAGCCCTCTACTATCTGCTTGAACACTAAGTTTAAATACTAATTAATCAGAGGTAACATGAATCATACTTAAATATGTATTTATGAACTCAAATAATGTCGTAATGGACCACAAATTTACCTCTGCCGGTTCAAAATACAAGGGAAAATACTTCTAAGTTTACTCTTTCTAATTACAAAAGTAATTATTTTATTAATTATTTCAAATTAATAAAATCCTAATAATTTTAGTTTAGAAATATTTTCCCTTCTATTTTTACATACTTAACTGTAGTAGATCTTATCATAAATATGTTAGAAGATAAAGTTTTTATATTAATATTACTAATCTAACATACCTTTGCAAACGACAACCCAGATGATGTACTTGGGCTTGGGCTAGGTTGTTCAACCGCTGAAGTAGATGGTTCCCCGAGTTCAGTGGAGGAGAAAGAAGCTCTGTCGACGACTGGCGGGCTGCCGAAGGAGGAGGAGGCGCGGGGGAAGTGCACCTCCGAGGAAAGGTCAGGGCGAGGCGGGCCCTCTAGCGCGCGCCTGCACTGCTGCTCGCGACGCCTTTCTTTACGCTCCAGGTTAGCACGCACTCGAGCACGACGCCTTAACTCTTCTATGAAATCAAAAAATATAACCTTATAACAGAGCACGCTAAATATCATCATCACCATCATCATCACACCAGGGGGCTTGGAGGTCCTTAGTGAACCATACGGGCCAAGTGTAGTTTGATTGACTTAACACAAATCTTTGCAGATATGAGCTGTTTGTGTTATGCTTTCCTTTACCATAAACATGTTTAAAAGTAATAGAAGAATCTTTTTATCAGCAGTAAATGAAAACCAAGCATTTTAAGTTTTTATTTTAAATATTAGTTGAGTTTGGGTAAAAATGGTGGGATTTTGCATTGACAACATCTTTTTTTTAATATAATTTTGATACTACTGACTGAGAACAACTTGACTTTTGCATAAGTTTAGTTGTTTAATACCTCATAAAATTAACTAATACTAGTTACCTGAAAAATTTCGCAAAGCTGCAGTTGTCACAAACGGCGGTTGTAAATCCAACTCCACAATATCAAAGGAGCAGTAGACTGGCAAGTGAGCTGTGTATGGCATGTGCTTTCTGGTCTGAAATCGAAAAAATACAATAATTTAGCAATATATTAGTCAGAATATTGTACACATTTAGTTAATCACATAATTTTTTATTTCAATTATCATATTATTATAGAAAGTTGTAAAATACCTGATCTGCAAGTGACAGAGTTTCTCGGTGTAGAACACGACCCTTAATAATAGGAGGTGCAGCAACTAGGCCGCCCCATGAGGCATTCAAAATGCGAATGTTAATGCTGTTTAAAAATATTTGTTGTCCATCATCAGCTGAAAGTAAATTAGTTCATTGACATTATTTTTTTGCAAATAAAAAAATTGCAATTGCTCCATTAACTAGAGACTTTTATTAAAATAAAAAGACTGACTGGCTATAACATTGTGTAAGACAAATAATTGGGCAATTAGGCATTCATAAAACTTTATATTTAAATTTATTACATGAAAATGTTACCTTGATAGAAGTAGAAGTATTTTGACTGGTTTTCTTTGTCAATATGTGTAATTGCATTGTCCAGTTGATTATCTTGGGGAGGCCCACAATCAATAAGAGGGAATTCCTCAGCGTAATTGTTATCATTCAATTCATCCTCTAAATAGGTTGTCACTTCTGAAGTTAAGTTAGGTTCTGGGACATTAATGTCTAACTCAACCATATTCTCTTCAATGAGCTCAATACAAGCAGCCCCATCTTCTGTTACATCAAACCAATCTAATTTCTTATCATTCACTTCTTGGTTCTCATAAACAAGAGGTGGAATATCTTCAATAGGTTCCGGTGTTTTGGGCTTATCAATTTGGTTTTTAATTTCTTCTCCTTTTTTGTTAAGCAGGTGTAATGCTTGTTCTAAGTAAAGAATTTCTGTTGTGTCAATTTCTTGTAATATTTGATTTTCTATCTCTTCACGTTCTTTTTGTAAAATTTCAAATATCTAGAAATAAAAGAATTGTTTTGTTAGATATTTATTGCTATGACTATTCAAGTCAAAAATTTATTTGGCTAACTAGCAAACCTGATCTTTAGTAGCAGTGAAGTATTTGGTAAATGGTGCATTGGAAAGTTGCTCAAGAGGCAATATTGGTGTTGACAAGTCAGCAGATATCTGTCCGCGAGGAGGTGCCACCTCAACCGTTGTGGTACCTCTTAAGCGACGGACAAGTCTCATTGTTACCTATTAAAATAAACCAAAAAAAAGATATGTAATACAAGTGTCTTATTTTGGATTTTCGCAGTCAAATCACCAGCATCAACTTTACATATGGTTTAAGTAGACTACTTGGTCCAATTCATCACTGTCTTCACTGTCTGCGGAGTCTTCACTCCACCTGCAGAAAATTGAATGTACTAACCTCATCAGCAGGGGGCGCCCATTGTATCATATAAGCAGATTTCATATCATTAAGGTCCATTGGCGCGGCACAGACCGGGCACGGCGGCAGCTGCTTCTCGTGTGCGGCGACGTAGTGCAGCATGCACGCCCAGCAGTAAACATGGCCGCAGTGACCCACGCGTCCCGCCACCGGGTTACCCAGGCATATCGGACATTCAGATCGCCCAGTACTTCGCACAATCTATTAACAAGTTGATAAAATCTAAATTATTAATAAAAACAAACTTACAAATACTTCATCTATTTCATAACAATTCAGCCAAATTCATTTTAGTAATTTTAATCTTCTACAGCATAACCACACCCATAATATACAGTAGGATCAAGCATTTTTGGTATGTAGTTTAATAAAAAAAACACCTCATTGCCAGGTGCTACTACTTTTTAATTTAATTTTTCATGTAAATATATATGGATATACTTACAATTTGCTCAACCTGCTCCCATTTAATAGGTGTATCTGGATCCATCAGATTCATTTCAATGTCCTCACCATCTTTTACTACAAACTGGCAACTAGAAAAAAAATTGCCTTTAAATATATCTCTCTATTAGAATCTTATTAGAATCAAGAAGAAGAAAGAAATGAAGGAGAAATCTTTGTTTTATTCTGTGATAGGAGCATGTAAGGTTTTCAAATATTTTTTAATAACATATCCAAACATATATTTTATCATTAACCTTTTTTTATTTTGCAATCATAATATCCATATTATCATAAATACAAATTACTTTTTTTTTTAATATCATATCATCATGATATACAATTTGTAAGATAAAGGTTTAGTTAGTTATTCAAAACATGTACAACTGTTCCAATTCCAGTTACCTAATACATGAACTGTATTGCGATTTAGAATAGGAAAAACTTTATTCAATTATAGACAACAAATATATAGTGGATGCAATATCATTAAGCACTTAAAGCATGATTCTTACTTAGCACGGAGATAGAGATCATGTTGATGTTTGTAGGCCAAGTTTTGTACAGGACGCCGAGGCGCAGGACCTCTGCGGTCAGCACCGCCCCGTGAAGGATACATGAAGTTCAGCAAATGATTCAAGTTTTGCTTTTTGCTTCCCGGCAGATACACTGAACCTAATTCAGGCTCATCATCTTCCTCTATCCTGCAATAACAAAATAACTGGTAACATGAAAAAATACCATATAAAAGGTAATCTTAAAACACTTAACTCATAAAGGCTTTTTACCCGGAGTTCTGCGTTCCACCCACAACAGAATTAGCTCCACGAACACGGGAACGCTTGTCAATTTGACCCCGACCTCTTTGTGGTGGTTGATTTCGTCGATAAGGTTCATTTTTTGAAGCTGCACCGGATCCTTCACGTTTTTTACTCCGTGGCCAAGGTTTATGCGTCAATTCTATAGGTATATAATTAATCAAATTTTAACGCTGTGATTAGAGATACACATACAGTTCTTGATTAAGGATGAGGTGCAAAACAACAACACATAATGAATGTCCTTCAAGTACTCACCAGTGCCTTTTTTACAATCGACAGCCGAAGCTCTCGACTGCGGTAGTGACAATCTGTTTAGTGATTTTTTGTCCATTCTGGACTCCTCCAACATCCACGAAAATTTTTGTGCGGGTTACTCCGCAAGGAGACGACAATTTTACGTTCAGGGCCGACATTTTAGAAAGCCATGTTTATAATACAAAACAAAGAGAAAAAACAACTTTCCCACAATATTCAATTTACCTAGCGGTAAATACTCGATTCAAATTATTACAACGCAAAAAAGGGAGTATTACCTACTCCCTTTCGTCGATTACGACGATCGCAGGAAAGAAAAACGGAATTTCCTTGTCCGCCACTAAAATGGCGACCTGTAGGTCCAGCCGGCGACCAGCCAGATAAAATAAATTACGCACTTCCTACTCCGACCATAAACAAAATATCATTCGTTTTTCAACTCCCAACTTCCAAGGTATTGATGGATCTCCTGTTTCTAAAAATTAAAACAATCTCTTTTGCTGTGTTAACACAAAGTGTTGATAAAGCAGTCCAAATACCTAGCTAAATAAAATACTGAAACCTAGTAACGTTAAAATAATTTTGTAATCAAATATTGTTTTTAAGAATCAAAATATAATCGGTGCGTTAATATTTTCATTTTAATTATTTTGAATTAAAGGTTATAGTATAGTTTATGGCACTATAACATTGCACAGCTTTTTTAATGGGTAGCGCCTGGTCCAAAAAACAGTCTTTTAAACAAGAAACGTAAATTTCCATCAAATATTAAGAAAAAGGCCAAACTGCCAAACAAACCCGCTATTATTTTATGGATATGTCAAACACAGTATAACAGAACCCACCAAAAACCTTTTATTTGATCAATTTACTCATATTTTTACTATCTTTTTTTATATGAAGTCCCACTAACGCTATTTTTGTATGTTTTTGTTTAAATAATGTTAAGGCTATTTCGATGATATTTGTTATACAGTTATTAGTTTTGTAACTGTTACTGTAAATAACTACGTTATGCTAATACCCATCTCTAATTATTGACCATAGCCACCCACAGCAACAAACAAAAAATTGTAGAATTAGCGGGAATTGGGCGAGAAGCGGGAAGAGAAAATTTGTATTCCAGAAGTATAATTTTGTTAATAAAATGTCTAAAACAGCAATAATTCCCACTGAAACTGCTGTAATACCTAGAGAAGAAGCAAGTCAACCTTTGGTAAGCCATGATAAATCATATTTAAAATGGTAATTATACGCGGCAAAATTGTGGTATAAAAAGTACTTAATTGTACAAATTATTGTATAAATCTTTGTGGAGTGATGAAAAATAGATTAATTTTAAAAAAGATCACTTTAGTGGTACGATAAGGTTGAATGCAAAGAACCTAGGACAGCAGATTTTGAGTCGAAAATTTTGGCGCCAATTTTATTTCGGTTCTTATACGGACACCAATTCCAAAGTTGAAAATCATTAGTATTTAAATGATACATATATAACTTTATTTACAAATTAAATTAATGTGAATGTAAACTATGTTAAAGAATTTTAAATTATAATGGCTAATGTAATATTACATACTAGCAATCCTCCAAAACTCCGTCCGCGCGTTAAAAAAACCTTTATCAGTAGCCTATGTGTCCTTCCAGGCTATATTCCATTCTGGATATTTGTACCTTGTAACAAACACCCAACCGTCCATCCATCCAAACATTCGCATTTATAATATTAGTAAGAAATGTCTCTATGGATCTCTTGTATGCTCAATGTTTATATTTATTTCAGTCATTCAATGATGTAGTTGCGAAAAATCCTTCGCAGGATAAATCTCAACGTCAAATTACGTTTTCCAGTAATTCAAAGATAAGTGACACTCAAAGTTCACAAAGCAGGTAATAAGTACTTTTCTCTCTTTAGTCTTCAGTACATGAATGTCGCTTTGTTGTTAGCACGACTTGATCAAATATCCTCTTTTTCAAATAAAATAGCAGATTAAGATGTCTTTTAATGGGCGAGAAGTGAACGAGACGAACTTTTTTCTAGATTACTATTTAAAAAAATCATTGTTTGTTTTATTTTAATATTCAACATAAGTTTGTGATCAGCATGTACAAGGGAGGGTTGAGCCAGCCTTTGGGCCTGTCGCATAGAGAGCGCATGTTGTGGCTGCAGCGGCGCCGGACGGAGGGCCTGTGGGCGTCGTGCGACAGTTGCGGCCGCTGGCGATACCTGCCCCATGTCATTGATCGTTATGAACTGCCTTATAAATGGTATTGTAAGATGAATCCAGGTTAGCACGATGCTTGGCTTCATAAGTTGATTAAAATTTTAAGTGTTCATGACGTCATGAAAGTGTTAAAATAATTTAGACTACATGATATAGATATAGGTTGCTGTAAATTTTAATAATATGTTATATTTTACATCATTTATGAAATCTAGATGAAATTAATAATGTATGCAGAATTAGACATTGTATGAATTAGAGATGATGTTTGTAGATAAAAAATTGGCCGATTGTTCCGCCCCTGAAGTACCGATACAACTGCACGATGAAGAAGATCTGATCCATAGTAGATTCTCAGCTGGATCCATAGTATGGGTGAAGCTGCCAGGCTGGCCGTGGTGGCCCGCTATGGTGGACGACTGCCCCGACACCGAGCAGTTTTATTGGCTAGACGGATTCTCTGATATACCGGTTATTTCATTAAATTATCGAATATATGTGAATGCAGTTAGTTAAAGTAGAGCCATGTCTGCTGTTATGTGATCATATCTATTAACACCTGCAACAAGTAAAAGATTTACACATACGTTGCGAATTTTATCGTTGAAAAAAGGGTTATTTGAGACATAGCAAAACATAGAAACTAAATATTAACATTTTCAGACTCACTACCATGTGGTTTTCTTTGACAAATTGGATGTGTCGCGTGCATGGGTAAGCGACCAGATAATTGAGCCTTACACTATTAATAAAAATAAAATTGAAGATGCAAACCGTAATAAAAAATACGCAAAGCGTTTACGAGTGGCCGTAAGTCAAGCCACCGACGCATTTTCTTTGCCACTCGCTTCGCGGTTCAGCAAATATAGCTTTTTAGCGCGATACAAAGGCAAGATTTTGAGCCCAACTAAAATATCAAAAACTGAAATTGAGAAGCACCGCAAAAGCCTCAAGAGAAAGTTTGATGTCGATTTTCCTTTGAGTTCTGATAGTGACGATAGTTCTTCGGCTGAAGATGAACCTATGAATAATAAAGGTAAAACTGATGCTGCAAATAAAAGTAAGGTCAAAGTAACGGAGCAGAAGAAAATAGCGAAGAAAGATGATATGATGCCAGAAAGTGATTACATTGTCGCAAATAATTTAACTTCGTCGACCACTATTGATGATCAAAGCCAAGTTAACGATACATTAAAAGAAACTAATTCTTTGAAGGTGTACGCTACTAGTACGGCTGACGAAGGGTTGGAAAATGCTTCTCTGGATTATGGTAAATTTAAATCGATTGCTTTTTAGGATTGAACTGTTAGTTAAACAGTTTTGTATATTTTTTGTTCAATTCCAGGTCAAACGAGTATCGATACATCGAAGGGAATAACCATGCAGGATACTGCAATAACTGATTCACAGCTTCAAATGAGAGCTGCTTCGCGTAGTAGCGACGAATTTGAATTTTAATGTTTTTCATGTGTATTAATTAAATTTGATTATAATGAATTAAAATAGAACAAAACATAGCACTGCTTAAAATTTAATTATAGTATGTATTACATTTTTGTGACTAAGATTTTAGATGGTTTTATTTCTGTTTTTTTTTTTTATCTGAAGCATTAATGAATACAATACCAGACTTAAATAAATATTATATGAGTCTTATACATATGAAAGCAAACTTTAACATTATAATGTACTTTTATTTTTTTAAATCGATTCTTGTTTTTATAAGGAGCTATAACTTTCTCAAAGAGTAATATTATCGATGGCAGCAGTTTTATACATTCTTGCCTGTTTGCTCCATATTTTGTCTTTGATTCGAGATAAATTTACCGACTATCACAAGGCTCACGTAAAATATAATAATTATTGATTGATAATAATCGCATTATAATAAATTAATAATTTAATCGTTTATTGTATCGTGCAGAGAAGACAAAAATAGCACAGCTCCAGCTGTGGTTGATTAGTTATAATGGCGACTATTTCATTTGCGAAAAGTGTGGTTAACCCAGGTATGACATTTTATATTTCTTCAATTATTAATTTTATAACAATAAATTAATAATAACTGTCTATGTAAAAAAAGTTGCCCACAGAATACACTTTATTTACAATTACTTGTGTACGATACTTAATATAATACATTTAAAATAGGGTTTGCAACTATTATGTAAAACAACTATTATCATACTTTACCTCCAACCATAATTTCTGGAGAACTTATTTATCAGCATCTGAAGTCTTCTCAAATCGATATTAAAGCTTTTTATGCAGGATTAGGAAAAATTTCTTTCCTATACGAAAATGTAGTGAAAACATCTAATCCTTTTCAGCCCTGAAGTTGATTTTGAAACAGAACCATTGTTCCCACCTATTAAATACAAATGGACTACCAGTGTTAACACCACTCAGCTTAGTACTCAGAAGAAACTATGCAGAGAAACAAGTTTTTGAGAGAACAAAACCACATTGCAATGTTGGTACAATTGGCCATGTTGACCATGGCAAAACTACCCTTACCGCTGCTATAACCAAAGGTACCTTTTACTGAATTGCATACCTAGCATTTGATTTAGCACTTTAGGAACAAGAGTTTTTCTCCGACTGATGTTTTAGCTCAAGTTCTAAGTGGTAAAAGTCAAAAATCTCCACTACAATATTCAATTACATATAATCATATAATTTTAGTTCTTACCACTACACTTTAGTGTGGTCAGTTGATATATAAAAAATAACTTTTCAGTATTATCTGATCTCAATTTGGCTCAGAAGAAAGGCTACACAGACATTGACAATGCCCCTGAAGAAAAAGCTCGTGGTATTACAATTAACGTAGCCCATGTTGAATACCAAACAGAGCAGAGGCATTATGGTCACACAGACTGTCCAGGACATGCTGATTATATTAAGGTAAGAAAAAAAAATATGAACACAACCTTAGGTACAATTATTACCCATTTTAGCTTTTTTGTACATAAATTACTAATGCAATATCACATACAAATTAAACAGAAGGATCTGGAAAATGTCACAAAAACAAGATTTCAAGATGTATGAAACCAGTTTTAAAGATTTAAATGTTACTAATTACAATTTCAGAACATGATAACTGGAACAGCACAGATGGACGGTGCAATTCTTGTGGTAGCAGCCACTGATGGAGTTATGCCACAGACTCGGGAACACTTGTTGCTTGCTAAACAGATTGGCATTCAGCATGTGGTAGTTTTCATTAACAAAGTAGATGCTGCTGATGAAGAGATGGTGGAACTAGTAGAGATGGAAATACGTGAACTTATGACTGAAATGGGATATGACGGTGACAATACACCTGTTATTAAAGGTAGTGTTGCTATATTTATTATTAATGAATATGTAATTTTCTATATTATGTAACTATAATATTAGCAGAGAACTTTTAGCAGTAACTGAGAACAGTAAGACTAATAAATCAACACAAAAATCAATTTAATTTTTTCAGGATCCGCTCTCTGTGCTCTAGAAGGAAAAAGCCCGGAAATAGGTGCAGAAGCCATCAACAAACTCCTACAAGAAGTTGATTCATTCATACCTACCCCAGTGCGTGAGCTGGACAAACCTTTCCTGATGCCAGTTGAGTCGGTACATTCTATTCCTGGACGTGGAACGGTTATAACTGGACGACTACACCGAGGTAAATAAAACATCCACTGTTCCAAATGTTTCACACACAAATTTTGTGTTTTTTTTTTCTAAAAATCATTCTTTGAATTGCAGGTGTGTTGAAAAAGGGTACTGAATGTGAAATAGTTGGTCACGGTAAAACAATGAAGACAACTGTTACTGGAGTTGAGATGTTCCACAAGACATTGGATGAAGCACAGGCAGGTGACCAGCTGGGAGCTCTTGTCCGTTCCATTAAAAGAGAACAAATCAAACGTGGAATGGTGATGGCCAAGCCTGGAACTGTCAAGGCTCATGATAATGTGGAAGCTGCTGTGTACATACTCAGCAAGGAAGAAGGAGGCAGATCCAAACCATTCACATCCTTCATACAGTTGCAAATGTTTTCAATGACGTGGGACTGTGCTACACAAGTCAACATTCCAGATAAGGAAATGGTGATGCCTGGTGAAGATGCTACGTGAGTAAAAATAAGTCTTGCAAATTATAATTGACCCTTGAAATGAACTTGAACTGAGAACAGTTTATCTTTGTTTTGCTCAAGTATCCCACATGTTATTGTAGTAATAGATATAGTAAAAATACATGTATAAATGTATGATGATTAACAATATAACAAAGTTTGCACAATAGATGATATCACTGATCAGAATAAAAAACATTCAATAACTTCAGAGTACTAGTAGTAGTAGGATGTTTAATATTCTTTCAGTTGTAAAATTTTAAGATTGTACTAACAATTTATTATATGTTTTTACAGACTGCAACTACGTTTACTTAAGCCTATGGTTTGCGAGGCCGGTCAAAGGTTTACTTTGCGTTTGGGTGATTTGACTCTTGGAACTGGTGTTGTTACTAAAATAAACAAAAATCTTAGCGAAGAAGAAAGGATTAAGTTATTAGAGGGAAAGAAGGCGCGAGAGAAGGCCAGCGCGAAGAAGTAAAATTATTTAAGTCATAAGTTACATTTAGAATCATTCTGTAGACATTATTGTATGCATTTAAAATAAATGTGTGGTAAATTTAAATTCGCGTTTTACTTAACAAAGTGGAAAAATTCTTATGCCCATCATTCCAACTCCAAAACAAATAACCAATACTCAAAAACAAAAATATTAAATCCTTGGGACTAAAAAATGACCTTAGCCCAATCTAGCTTCAAGTTTACTCACTAACAGATCTTGAAGCTGATCCGTTAGATTTTTTTTGACAATGTAATTGTAAATTCAAACATTTTAAAAATTAATCTCGTACAAATCTTGCTACTTTTATGGTGCAGTATTGGCCATAATAGTCATAGTAGGACTCGGAAGTAATTATGGTCAGAAAAAATCTTTTATAGAACCTAACACCTAGTAAGCCTAAACGGCAGATAGAAACTCCCTTAAAATACTTCTGAATTAAATGTTTAAACAGGGTAAGCTGTATTTAGATTGAGCTTTCAGCTAAAAGTGGTCTAGATGATTACTTTGTGTTATGCCCCTAATATTAATGGTACTTATTATTAATAATAGGTGTAAGGAAGAAATAAAATTTCTCATCGTTTTCACATTTTATTCAAAAAGTATCACGATAATTTCACATGTGAAATATATTGTCAGTCCTTGCCTAACAAACAAATATTTTAAGATACAAAACAAAAGATGTGAATTGTCATAATTTATTATTATGTAACACTGCAAACTTTATGAATCATTAGGATGTTAATCCTGTGACATATTTTTTGAAAGATATCAATACAATAAATAATACAAAAACAATGAACATGTATTACAAAGCTTCGGGTAATTCTTATTAGGCATTACAGTATTTATTACATAGACAATATCATAATACAATTAATACAACACTACAAAACAGTAGGAAACATTGGTTTACATACCTATAAGCAAGTCTCACATTAATTTTAAATGCAGTTTTTTTTCCAACTGAACGCTAACAATATTAAATGAGTAGACAATAGTTTAGGCGAATAGGAATTAAATAATGCAATTTTACATGAATATGGTCTTTTGTGAAACTAATGGAATGAAATTTTAACAAAAAAATTATGAACAATTACCACCAATAGATTACAGAGGGCACTGGGAAGCAAATCCTGTTTACAAATCCTCATCCTCTTCTGGTAGAGCGGTGTCTTGGGCTTCCTTGAGATCTTTTTCGATTTGGTTCTGCCATTGTGGGTCCATGGTGACTTCCGGAGGCACCAGTGCAGGCATGGCTACAAATTCGAGGTTGCCATCTCCAATCAACTTCCGGGCTAGCCATAAGAAAGGCTTTTCAAAGTTATAGTTTGACTTTGCAGAGATGTCATAGTACTAGAACAAAAAACATTAGCAAGTAAATTACACAATTCGTTTATACGTAAATTTATATTTATTTGAAATATTATAAATTAAAATGATTACCTGTAGGTTTTTTTTTCTGTGGAAGACAATAGTTTTGGCCTTCACTTTTCGGTCCTTGATATCCACTTTGTTTCCACACAAAACAATTGGGATTCCTTCACATACGCGCACTAAGTCTCTGTGCCAGTTGGGTACATTTTTGTATGTAACACGTGAGGTGACATCGAACATAATGATAGCGCATTGGCCTTGAATATAGTATCCATCTCGTAATCCTCCAAATTTCTCTTGACCCGCTGTATCCCAAACGTTGAATCTTATGGGTCCACGATTTGTGTGGAAAACTAACGGATGTACTTCAACGCCTAAGGTTGCGACGTACCGTTTCTCGAACTCTCCAGTCAAATGTCTTTTTACAAAAGTAGTTTTGCCGGTACCACCGTCTCCCACTAACACACATTTAAATGTGGGCATATCATCAGCCATGGTTGTTTATTTATTAAACTTCTTTGCCTGAAAACATGTATCAAAAATAATTAAAAATGTTACAGTCTAGCCATTGTCATAATTCAAACTCTCCATATAATTAACATGATTTGTTTATGTAACGTTTGGATGGTTAACTGTATTAATATCAAAAGCTTGGGTGACTTTAAACAAAGTAAAATCATAAATAAACGGCCGGTGACAAGTTAAAATTGTTTAAGTTTTCACCGAATGGCGCTCAAGCACTATCACAGGAATTTAGCTCAATGGCACCGAAAAGAATTGAGAATTGTGGATAAACTATAAAAGTTAAAACCAAAATATATAAACATCTGAAAAGTATAGAACTTATAGGATTTAAATGCAAGAAATATGAACAAAAATTACCAAGATTATCTAAAAAGATTGAGATTAAACTTGCTGCACTGAGAAGTCGTTACGGCTCACAATGGCGTCACTTAACTAAACGGAAGATTTTGCCGACAGTGACAGGCGCAGTGACAGTTGTAGTCACTGAAATGCTTTTAATATTTTTAAGATTTTTTGACTGAGGTCCCAACTTCAAAACGAAGTAATTTTTTTTGGATTATAAACAAAAACATTATTTTTTAACCTCCTTGCACGAGAATTATACAAAGTGACAAATCTTTATAAATAAATGCACACCTTATTGAAATTTTTCGCGTGCTATTTTATCGACATTGACCAGTGACGTCATTTTCTTCAGTGCGATTGCAACGCCATCTACAACTCATTGAATTTTGTTTCAAGTGTTCTGACGGATGGAAGTTTCGTTCGTTCGTTGTATCGATTTTTTGAGTGAACTAGTGTTCGTGTCCTTTAGTTTAGTGACGTTTGTTAGAAAAATATCTGTGAATGGGATTGTGTAATAAGATAAAACGTTTATTTGGTGTGTGATTTTCTATAAAGGATGACGAAGGACAGGTTAGCGGCGCTTCAAGCGGTAAGCTGTTTTACTAACTTCTCCGAACCTGATAAAACTAATAGGTTTTTATGACCTCGAATTTACAAAGTAGTTGCACTAAAAAGTATACAAGAACTACTGCAGTTCTGTTTTATCATAGCTGATACACTTATGTTATGGAAATTGTAATTTAGACTGTTTTCTAAAATATTTCATTTTCTAGTCGCCCCACCCGTGATCATTTTGATGACTGATAGCATTTTGGACTGTATTTCAAAATTTTAAGCCATCATTGCAAAATTTGCTTTTCCATTCGTCATATGACTCGAATATCTTAGTTTTCAAGTTGATATTTAACTACTGATCTACAAGAAATGTTCTAATGTTCTTAACCAAGTATAAATACACTGTTAGCAAGAATATAAATGTGATCCTTCCTTATGATTCATAGTATTAAGTCAACAATTTTTTATATGTAGGTATAAAAAAATAATTTGTTAAAACCTTTATATCTCTATCTTTAATGACTTACTGGTATCATACAAAGTGAAAAGCAATAAACATAATTTTGCTTATCTGTAAATCCACATTGTTTTAGCTTTTTTGAATATTTTAAATAATTTTTCTGTAATAGGTCTTGCATACTTTACTGGATATTATAATCTAGAATAATTATAGTATTTTCTTTTATAGGTTTTGACTCATTATGTGTGTAAGACAGAAAGCTAGTTCAATGGCAAATTGTTAAAATCTAACAAAAATTGAAAAGTATTTGGAAAGTGAACATAGAAGTGTAGAAAGTGAGGTATAAAATTCCTATATTTTTAGTTCTTTTCTAACCCTTCCAGTTATGGGTGTCAGTGTTTCTCGTTTCATGTTAATTATTTTTTCTGGAGAAACCAAGTTGATTTAAATATATTTGTTATACTTAAATATTCCATTAAATATTTATGGCAATAATTGTTTAACTATTGAATATAGAATCATAATAGTTCCGCAGAAGCAATGCGGCTAAATTAAATAGAATATAATAGGAATTGGTGTAAAGCATGTCCGGTATTATATGAACACATTATTTGTTAACTAAAAATGGACAAACTGTTCTATATAAGCTGGAAGTAACTTCTAAAATCAGGGATTTTTGTTTTATTGGCTCAATAAGTTATTGTTAAAAGTAAAATTATCACTCTAATATCTATCATGAACAATATCCTTTTCAAGCTTTGCTCCAGGCTCTATGTAACCACTGATATGTAGCATAGGATATTTACAATTAAAGTAACCACACCTATGTAATATAATAGTAATAATGGACATAGGTCCACTATGACTTTTATAAACAGGATAAACCCATATTGTATTTCTTAGGAAAATGTCACAAACATGCACAATTTAGTGTCCATATTTTATTCTTTTCATACTATGACAAAACAGAGCCTCATATCTTACTAATATTATAAATGCAAAAGTTTAGATAGACGGATGGATTGATGTTTGTTTGAAGGAGTCTCTAGAACGGGTTAACAGATCTCAATAAAATTTGGCATACATGTAGACCATAGTCTGGAAAAACACATAGGCTACAGATTATGTTTTAATATCGCACGGACGGAATCGTGAGCGACAGTTAGTGTATTAATAAAAGTGTCTTAGTAGTGAAATTCCATTATAGGATTGCTAAAACATTTAAAGTAAATTTACACCAGTTGATGAACAGTATACAAGATTATGTATAGCTGGTATCACTGCTTGTTTTATCAGTAGACGGGCGCCAGCATCCGGCGTGCGACCTTCGTCAGACTTGACTCACTGATCGCTCGTTACGTCATCAGCCTTACCAACTGCACCGTAAGACAAATACCAAATTAGTTCCATTAAACCTCCTTGAAAATACTGGCTGGATACAATATTTAGTGAGAATTATAATTAAACAGGGTACGTTAGCTATTATGAGTAAATATGCCACTATGATTGTTGATGAAATGGTTTCGCATTTGCACTTGTCTTTACGATTGTACTGATATGTGTAAAGTTGAATTACTTTATTCATGTTATCTCTAACGTACTATATTTGCGTACAGCTTGTTGTATTGTCTTGTCTTAAATGTAGAGTTACGACGCACACAGACTTATAGAACCATGCATGGGAAATTACTTTCACTTACCTAAAAACCTTTTGCACTGCTCTCTATTAATATTAAAAAGGCCGTAATATCGATCGAACAACTATAATATAATATTTAGCGTGGGTTTCTGGAATCAAAAGCTCCGTTTAAAACATATTGTTATCTCTGTTTTGTCAAAGACAACGACAGGGATGACGATGTGTTTTATAGAGAGATACTGGTCTCAGAAACCAAAGGTTAGTAGCACAAACGGCGAAGAAACTTCGTCAAATAAAAGAATTTCATCGATGTATACGTGTTGCGTAAGTTAGTCTTACAGGCTTAAGCAAAACGAATTTCTATAAGTTAATCCATCTAAAACGTTTAAAAGAAAATTGGATAACTTTACAAGGGAAATATACTTTATTTCTGTAAATTTTTTAAGGTTTGTAAAAAGTTATCTTGCTTATAACCCCTACGGTTATTTCAGACTGTCGCCTACTGTCGCTCTTAATTTTAGAGTGCTTACAATTCGCAATATTTTCTTACATTAGTATAACTCAGCTATGAATAACTTACATAACAGCCAAAGGTACTGTTTCTTATTTATTTTATCATCAGTTACTGATTTTAGAATAATCTTTTTGTAGTCATAATTGTCTAAATTATTTAAACTTTAGTTTGTGCACCTTTTAATCCTGAAAATCTATAAAATACCAGTTTTAAAATGAACTTGGTATCACTAATTTTAATAAAACTAGAAGCGAATGAGAACGCGTATAAAAATGAGTTACGTAAAAGTGGCTACTTCATATCGCAGAGAGGATAGCCCTAGGGAAGGGGGATTACTGAATAGCGGCTTAACCCCCCTCCATACTTCAAATCACATGCACTGGTAACAGCTGACTCACGACTTGCGTGGTTTCTATATTTAGATAATGTCTCGCGGACTGTCTGATCTCTGTCTTATAAAAACTAATGCACGAATTTTTATGTTCTTGGTGGCAAAATTAGTTCCTAAAAGAAATGTTAACTGATTTTGCTCTCATAAAAACCTACTAGACTTTATGACGTAATTCTAATTAGAATGATCAAGGTCGGCTCTGTGTTATGTGCAACATACAATAAGTTCTTACCAGACGGTTGTGATAAGTTTGACTGATTAAAGATACTTGTACCCATTCAATTATTATTGAACATATGTAGTTTGTATTGATTATTCCAGTAATCCAGCACATACCGCATAATTTCAATACGTTTGTATATGTTGGTAAATTAAATATTAACCGATCGTGTTATGCGAAGCGACCTCGTGTCATGCGATATTAATTTCACCGTTATAATGACTATGTTGCTAATCTTTGATTTGATAACAATTTCATTACAATGGATTATACGTTAATCACAATGTCTATTTTGATTTATTTTATCAGTCGCCCCTAACTTAGGGTAAGCTGATGATGATGATGTCTGTCGTCTGTTTTAACATATGTTATAAATTCAAGCGCAATCAAGCTTTAATACGATATTGTGCAAACCTTGCCTAAAGTTGTCTACTTCTAAAATTATGTCCTTAGAATTACATTTTTCATCGATCTATCTGCAGTGCAGGAAATGCAAGGACGTTCAGGCGCTTTGTAATTCACGTAATTATGACAATTTGAGATCTCTCTCTAACAGCTAGAAAATTATCTCAATGTTTAAGTGCACCAAGAATTAAGTAGCATTTGCAAACCAATTACCTTTGTATATCAACTTCCTGATGCCAATAAGAAATTGCTACCGTATTCTTGTCCTATTAATAAGTTAAGTGAAAAATTTGTACCGCATTTAAACCAGTTAATGTAGAGTAGAAGTGCATTTAGCTTTTTTGTAATAAAAAATAAAAAAAATATTTTTGAATTATTAACAAAGTTCAACCTATCGGCGACCACTATAATAAACTGATACGATACATAGACGACATAGATATTGGCCGTAAAACAAACTGAACTGAAGGCAAAATGAATGAAAAAATATAAATGTCAACTTCATTCATAAGTCTATTACGGCTACTCATAGCATAGTTACGACAGACAGGTCCTAGACACATTTTATCGAACACCAAATATAGAATGCTAACAATCGTATGATTGTAACACTGTTACTTCAACGTTCTAACATTGCTGATGATACGATGTTAATGATGCTTCCGCCACAGACGTACCAATGGCAACAATTTCACACATACATCTCTAATAGATTTGCATGATACGATCTTTTCACGGTCAGGTATCCGTTTCAATAGCGCACAAGTGTATTAGTCAGACAACGTCAATGAAATCATCGTAGTGATTATGCGTATATGAGTAGGGATAGCTCATAGACGTTACGAGTGTTATCGTAATTGTATAGTAATATTTCTATCAAAGAGATTCTAATTAACGCGTATTACTCTGTAAAACATTTTTTTATAATATAAGGTGATAAACGAGCAACTGGCTATTGGAATTCATCAAAAGAGCGAAGTGACCATTGCCTATATGACGATGATGCGCTTTTCTTTAATTACAAGAGAAAGGGACGACCATAAAAAGTATGTAATCCCATGTCTATGCGTTGCCAAATCCATTTCCTCTTCTCATCCTTTCAGTGTATGGAAAGGATGGTGGCACTCATCAGAACGAGCCGGCTCATTCGTGCAAAAGTTGTTGCAACCACTACCACTGTTCGACAAAAATGGCTTAAAATAGACGCTATAAAAGGCACGGTATTTTCGAATACCAGTCATGTCAGTTTTGAATTAGACAACCGTAGTTTGCAAAGATAAGTATTTTTCTACGCCATTTTATCGAATAAACTCGTTCCGCCCCCAGCCTTATCTAAACCACAAACCGAAAGTTTGAAGCGTGCATTGGACGTGTTATCTCTAGTTTCCTATACAGAACACAATAC